TGCCGAGTTGAAAGTGGGTGACAAAATGCACTCGCTTTCCGAACACACACACACACACACACAGACGGCCTCTCGACAATACGTGTTTTTGCTGGCTGTAGTAGCGCCGCATAAAAAAGGGGAAGAAGTTAAAGTGAAATACTGGAATTAAAAGGGAAATAGAAATTAATTGAGAAATTAAAACAGAAGAAATCAAGTCGGTTAAAGAATTTTAAAAAACACAATTGTAGAATAAAGTCGAGTAAATTACAACCCGTTTCTCACAAGACTTTTCCCTGCAGTGCAGCTTTCGAAACGGGAAACGTTTCGAGAAGCTGTTCATTGTGCGAATTTCTTTGACAGTATCCTACGATCTTGTGCTTTTCAGTTATAGGATATTTTGATCAGTGAGGGCCATTCTACATTATGCAGTTGGGAATATTTCCAGATGCTCTGACCAGTCCTGCTGGCGATCCTAGCATTCGTTTCGTCTCATTCCAAAAGTACTAACTCAGTGGTTCTTCCGATAGAATCAACTCAAAAGCAAGCTGATGGCAGGTTTGACTTTCTGGCATAGTATCAATTTACTATCGAAACGAATGAACGAATAGTGGAGGGGTAGGTCTTTGCACTGACGGAGCCGGACCCTCGAACTTGTACAGGACAGCAGTGCTCATTAGTGCCAAAAATGTGCACAGGATGTGAGAGGGTAAGAAAAGCAAAGAACAAGTTTTTATACAGTCTTTACACAATACAATTTTCTTACAACAAATAATAACAATAATAGTCAGCACAAAAGAGGTGTGTGAGTGAATTAACATATATTTTTACAAAAAAAAAAACGATCTTTTAGTTTCATCCGTGAAAATTCTCGTTGAAAAGTACTAGGTAATGGAGAAGTCAGACTCAAAAACAGACTCCTCTTATAATTCAACGATGGAATAGGTCATAAGATAAGGTAGAAAGGGCAGTACGAGCCATAAAGGCCCTATGATCATCATATCAAGAAAAAGCTATAAACAGCCCGCGAACAGGACTTTAAACAACGGTCAATACAGTTAGGAGCCAAATAGGAAGACCAGTACGGGCAGTACAAGCTTGTTAGTCGATTATATCTACCGCTCTAATTAATGTATCATAATAGCACAAAAGAATCATTTTACACAGCAAAAAACGTATCCTACTCATTAGATTTCATCTTCCCGCATGGTCATAATGATGCGTTCGTTTTCATAAAATTTTCATACATTGTGCTTGCATCATGAACATTCTCAAAGTGTAGCCTAATCCGATCGGTATTTCTGATTCAAACAAAATCGCGAAACAAGATCTCCCAGACAGAATGCCCCATGTTAGTGATGTTACTGAAATGCTCCCATCTGCCGGACGCAGCTGTACCGGACTCTTCAAATCTTGAACTGCATACCTTAAATTGGTACCTACCATCTGTTCGATTATATGCACCGCCCGAGTGGTCATTTCTTTCTCATGGATACCACTCACTAATGCGCAACGCTCGCCAACTATAGGCATGGCAAACAACATATTTTACCCACTGAATTTGATTTTTCGCGCGCGGTCGCAGTGATACGTTCGTTTTCACAAAATTTGTGTTGATGCGCATAATCATTAACTGGAACATTTTTCGTTTTCGTTGAGCAATGGTGCTTAAATCTTCAAACAGCAGGAAAATCCATCCTTCAAACCATAATTACCTTTTCTTTTCGTCGATAATATTATACCAGCATTGACCATTGATATTTTCGCCATTTGGACAGGATCCATTTATCCGTGCTGGCCCGAGATCTAAAACTACTCCCATGAAAGGCATTTATAATTCTCTTTAAACCTATTAAACAAATTGGTACTTAATATTGAAAACCAAAATATTTGGTATTAAACATTAAATAAATACTTCATGCTAAATATTAAATAAAAAGTTGGCATTAAATTAAATAGTAAATGAATATGTTTTGAAAACGGTTTAAAGCCTACTGTAACAACTGTTTGCTAAAATTTTTTCATTAAAATTACAGTGCTCCATAATTGTTGCTGCAGACTACTAAGCAGCAAAAAATTAGCTCACATTTAAGCTATGGCAAGAAAAGCTTTCTTGTTTTTTTTTTCTTTTGTTAAAAATGTGACACTTTTTTTTAACAAAATCATGGCCTGAATCAATCTCCAAAAAAGGAAAAAAGCTTACATCTAGTGAAATATCCGTAATATCCAAATCTTGGAAGACCCAAACCACCAAGGTTTCCCAGTCCACCTAGACTGTTTAGTCCACCAAGGCCAAGCAACCCACCAAGGCTGCCCTGAGTACCTAGTCCGAGCAGTGACGCATTAACTGGAATCGGCATCAAGATATTGACCAAAGTACTGCATCGCGATAATGGCATTGCACCGCTCACTGAAACATGCATATTAAAAAACATTTATAAAATACAGTTCATTTCATCTTTTTTCCTGCTTTTTTTTAATTTTACGCAAATGAAAAGACGCATATTGTGACTTTTACGATTGCATGTCATAGCAGTATTAAATGAAGGTATGTAGCTCAGAAAAAGCGTGGCAGAGCTGCGTTCGGCGCGTAGGAACATTCTAGTACCATTGTCAATATGAGGTTTTCGCACTAATAACACATCGGTTTTCACGTGTATTTTGAATAAAAACACCGCCAACAACTTATAGGATTCTTACAGCTGATTAAATTTCTCTTTGAAAACCGATAATATGATAATCGAGCTGAGTGCGACAATGAGTTTGAACTAATTACCATCTGACCAGGCCGTGAAGAAAGAAGATTGTTGAATGGTAGCCACTCAGTTAATACTGAGTGGATACCATTCAAAGACAGGAATGGCTATCCGGTAGGATGACCTGC